GAGAGAGTAAGTTTCTGTTCTTATAAGCCACCCAGTCTGTGGTACTTTGTCCCGGCGGCCCCAGGACACAAAGGCGAGGTCTATATTGCAGTCCCATCCCCCACCTTGTCCTCAAGCCCCCGCCTGCCGGGACAACCATGGCCCAGCAGTGTGCTCCCTCAATGCCCTCTCATCCTCTATCCCACTCAGCTGCAAACCCCAGCCCCTGATAAACCTGACTCCCTGGAACTCCGGGGTCTAGCCACGCAAGGTTCCTGCCAGTCCTGGAGCACAGCACAGCTGCTCTGTGGAGCCGGGACTGCTGACCTTCCTACCTCGCACCTCAGGGTCCTCCTGCCCCCCACCCAGCCAAGGTGTCCCAAACGTGCCACCATGGGTGCTTGCTGAACGGACAACGGTGCTTAGGACAAAGCCTAAGACCCCTTTGTGGGTGATGGTGTTATAGATTCAACTTTGTGTCCCCAAAAAATGTGTTGTAAACCCCGACAGCTCCACCTGTGGCTGTAATCCCACTGGGAACAGGGTTTTCGTTGTTATGTTAATGAGGCCACATCAGTACAGGCTGTGTCTTAAACCTCACCATTTCGGAGATACAAAGAGAGCAGATTCGGCACAGAAGCAAGCAAGCACAAACCGGCAAAGAGAGATGCCACACGGAGACCGCCAGGGAATGCCAAGAAGCATCCTAAAGAAGCCAAAATAAGGATTTTCCCCCAGAACAGACAGTCAGCCTTCACCTTGAGCCAGTGCCCTGAAGTCAAGACAAAATTCATTTCTGTTCATTAAAGCCACCCACTTGTGGTATATCTGTCACAACAGCACTGGGAGACTCAGACAGACGGTGTGGGCCCTCTCTCCCTGTACCTCATCTCATGAGCCCGTACCCGTTGCCACTGAGTTGGTTCCGACTCATAGCAACCCTACAGGACAGGGCAGAACTACCCCATAGGGTGTCCAACGAGCGCCTGGTGGATTTGAACTGCCAACCTTCTGGTCAGCAGCCAAGCTCTTAACCACTGCGTCACCAGGGCTCCCTCGTGAACCCAGGGGTTATTAAACCAAGTGTATTTTGGGCGTGGGCCTATTCACACTGTATCTGCAGACCGTGTAATGTCAGCAGGGGTGAACACCTTTGCTATCATCTCCCCCCATCTTTACAATCCGTAGGAAGCTGGGGGCAACACTCAACAGCAGTTTCTCGCTATTTAAATAGGTTCTCCTGCTGGAAGCATCTGTCACGTTCCTCTCACCCTCACCCGGATATTATTCTCTGAGTTTTTACACAGGAAACTAAATTTCAGATAAAGATGACTCACTATGAAACCTCATGTCCCAAGAAGCTAAACCCAGAGTCAGCCTCAGGACAAAAGGGTGGGCTGGACACGTCTGCTGAGGCACCAGGCCCACCTGGGTTCCCACCGGCACTCACTCACATCTGGGCGGCCTCATTCAAGCGTTAGAACATGAGACATTTATGCAAAGTAAGTCGGATGTCCCAGTCAGGGGGACTGTAGGGTGCAGAAGGCAATCTGGCCTTTTGTTCTGAGAGCCAGACTACACACCTAAGAAAAATGAATGGGGGCTGGCCAGACCAAGAGGGCCCACCTGGGGGCCAAATGCTGACTAAGCCTCAGGAGACATGATGTAATTATCATGGCTACATGGTGAGGGTAGTAAGCTCTGAGCCCTGAAGCTCGCAAGAAGCTTCCTGGTTGGTAAGAGGGACAATCTGCCCCAAGAGTATGGCCCCCAGACACCCTTTTAGCTCAGTGGTGAAGTCATTTCTGAGGTTCACCATTCAGC